TATTGAACAAATAGTTTATTATTTATAAGCATTTAAAATTTAATGACGCGGAGTAGTACATTAAAAATACGTGGGGTATAAAATAATTTCTCTTCCGCCCTACTCGTATCCAAATTTAAAATATTTATGTACTACGAGTACGATAATTGTATAAAGTTTATCATTTTAAAGTCAACGTTTTTACTTTTTAGAAAACAATTTTATCGTTTTTCGTGGTAATTTAAAAAAAAAAATAATAAGGTTCATCGTTTAAAGCAATTTCAACTCTCGGAAGATGAGTAAATAATTATTTTTTTTAACAAATTAAATAAATATAATGATACAGTATAACGAAAAATTATATTTTTCTTATATTGAGTAAATGATATTGTACCACAATAACGATTACGTCGTATAAAAAATGCTTAGGTAGGTATACTAAATTTCAATTAATAACATATACCTACTTATTTAGGATAGATATTTTTTGTTGTTACTTGCTTAATTTTTGGTTCGCTATTTGAGAAAAGGTTTATAATTTGCATTGTTCTTTTACTTGTTCATACAATGTTCGACTATGATAATATGTGTACAGGAAAACGAGCTACGCCTTGTTTACGAAGATAACAGACATTTGAAAAACGAGGATGTTTTGTATACGATTGTGTTCCACCACACGAAAGTTTTCACTCTATAAAGTTATACCGGTAATGATAATGTCTGAAAGTTTTTAAGCGATGGGGACGGTCAGCGGAAACTATAATAGCTTTTGTCCGTAATAACCAGCGTTTGGGTAAATTCAGCATTTTTTTCAAAAATTTATTTGCTTTCATTGTTAGGGCTTTTTAATAGAAGACTAAAATGAAGGTTAGGTTAATATAAAAGAGAAAATAGATCGATATAAATGTCTTTTGATTTCAAGGTATTTACTTAAAAAAATTATTAACATTACAAGTAAGTTTTTAAAATAATAAGCCAAACAACGATTTTATACAGACTTTTTCTCACGACACTTGATAGAATTGTTTAAAAATTAAAAATTAGTAATCATTTTCAAGGAATCTAGCTAATAAAAATAAAAATGTGTATGTCAAAAGAAGTGCGAGAGAACAAGTTATTATTAATTACCATATATTTAGAATATTAAAAGATTTGAAGTTTAAAAAAAAAGTTGGGCTGATGGTTATCACTCTGCTGTACGGTAGGTGTGGAGTTTGGACAGTTTGGTTACTGTAATTGATGTGTTAAATTTGAATACAATGATATAATATCATTGTAAAGATACTACTGTACTGAGTGGAGATGGTATATCAGCCTAGGATACTTTATATTAAATGAATATTGCTATTAGTTAGTAATAGGTATAGATTGAATACATTTTTGCAAAAAAAAACATTGAATTTGCATACCTTTTACTATAAAGTTAACAGTAACTTTTTAGCTGCCAAACTACTTATAATACCTAGCTATAGAACTGACAATTTTATAAATTTTATAATTTTTCAAATTGGATTGACGAATTTTGTCAACATTTGAGTTTTAAATGCATACAAAAAAAAAACTTATGTGTCTTTAATATTTTTAAATAGCTATATTAATATAACTTATGAGAAACATTGTATAAACTTGCTATACTTTTTGACATACCTGACGAATAATATTTATCGACATAAACGGTAAAGGTAGTAGTGACGACCAAGGTTACCAAACCACAATTTATTCTTTTTTTATTAAAATTAATAAAATTAATTTTTCAATGAAAAATAAACACTGACTTCTTGGTGGGGAAAAAATTTATACTATGTATAAAAAATATTACATTTACTTATTATTTTATTGTAATATGTTCAATATTTTTGTTTTATATCAATGTACCTTACAAATATTTTTATACTTGTATGGTTTACAACCGTTTTTTTTATTGAAATTAATACAGACAAATGACTTAATAATATAAAACTCAGCTGATTACCACAGCTCACTTCATGATGTAAAACTAATGTACTTTAAACTGTGTGACATGTTCTTATTCATCATTTTTATTTTTTGTTTTAGTAGTTATAGTTTCATCGTCGATCTATTACGAGAGTGTCAATATGATAGGTTGAAAAATACTCATTTTTAAATTCAGTGAGCTTTTTACATTTAAAAAAAAAAAAATAAAGGATTATATTAAGTTCAAATATAAAATAACCAAAAATACACAAAGGAACACACTAAAAACACTTAACTTAGGTAGTAACTTATTAGTTATTATTCTAAAATAATGTGTAAGTATTTATTTATAAGTAAAATTTTACTTATTTATTAATTTCTTATATGAATTATATGTATGTACAAATCAGTATATACCAACCATGTATGTACCAATTTGTTATTAATTATTTCATTAATATTAATATAATTAATTACTTCTAGCTCAACATCTTTAACGATATTTATTCACAAACAGGTTGGTTTATTGAGTTTAAGATATTTCACCTCCGAATATTTTACTAAAATAAATTGAGTGTAGATAAGATTTGATACCATTTTTATTTTTACGAAATACCTTGATACATCAAGAAGAAATCAAATAAAAATTACTAAATAGATTTGTGAGGCATTTTGTAGTTTAAATAAATCAATAATACATTTATTTTTTTCAGACTAAAATACAAGTTAAGTTTAAATAATAGCTTTGATATTTTAAAAATAGCATCTGAAAACTTTAAACAGTTTTAAATAAATATTTTAAAATAATATTTATTGAGCTATTTAAGCTACCTATAACTGAAAACATTTAAAATGAGTTAAATCGTATTTGTTGATTAATTGTAAAAAAATAACAATAAATAAACTTTACAAAAAGTAAGCACTTACCAAATTTGAAAGTTTTGTAAAATATAATAAATTTAAAAATAGAGTTTCATTAAATTGTTTGTACAAGAAATATATTGAATTTGAAATTTGAAAGTTTTAGAATAAAAATTAAACGCAGTAAAGTTAATCGAGTATTGCGTGTTTTTAACGCGATTAAATTAAACGAATTATCGTAAATACATACTTTGAACTAACTTTTCACAAATATTCATGGTGTGGAACAAGTAATAATTATTTTATGTACAAAGACTTTAAATAATTTAATTTAAAATTAAGTAAAATCGTTAATATAACAAAAACATGTATGTAATCAATAATCATTAATAAAATTAAGAGGTCTAATCACTCTTAATATAACTGATCATTATTCATTAACTGTATCAAGTTCGTATAAACATGCAATATACATTATATAGTCTATTTCTAACTGTAATAAATACTAAGAAAATATCATTAGCTATACAGCAATATATTTAACTTAACATATTCTTAGAATAAATCAATTTATTATAAAAATACTTGAAATAGGTATAAAAAAATGCAATAGTAGTTTATTTTATAATGTCAAAATACATTTTATGTAAATAATATACCACAATATATATCAATAAGACAGTTTGATTGAACCGAAAACCTACCTATATTTATACAGCGGTAGGTACAGTGGTTTTGTAGTAGGTAGATGTAATAATATACGGTTACCTAGTGATTACCAATTTATTTATTTAATTTGGGAGGATCAAAGGGTTGAGTCTATAATTTTTATGTATTTGGTGTTCAGAAATATACATGTGTATTTTTAAATTAAACGGGCTGTCAACAAATTATTTGATGACACTGAGATAAACATTGTTATGATATTTCCACATAATTTTTGTTTATTGTGTATTCAAATAAAGTCATTGTAGACACGTTAAATACAGATAAAATGTATTTTATTTTTATTCTCTAAGCATTTTATTAGTTATTAAAACTGTTTAAATTCCAAGCCAATATATTTCTTTATAATATTTTTCTTAATTATCTTTGAATACATTCCTATCCTTACTAACGGTTAAGTCTCCAAATTTTAAACTTAATTTATTTTTATTATTCTTGAGTTACAAATTTCCATAAATTAAAAAAAGTCTTGTAATTTATAATGCTGGGTAAAGTAACAATGTTTCTATGTCTTACCATGTGTTAGAACAATACATATTTTACAATATTCTAAAATCAGCCAATATTGTTATGTCTTTAAAAAAATTAATTGTATCTGTTTCTTTAACATTTATCTAAATAAATTACCTAAAAAGATAAAAACTTAAATAGATTCCACTTAATTTTTTGGTTAATAGTTAAGTGGTATGACCACGTGGTCACATAACAAAATATGTATTATTGTTGATTCCTTAATATTTTTAAAATATAATTTTAACCATTTTATTGCAAGTGTACTAATTATTTCTCTATATTCTCGAAAAAAATTTAATTTTTAAAATTAACATGTCTATAATAGTAAAATGAGTGTTCAATCATCAATCTATAAATATAATATATTTACCAATACTATGAAATATTTTTCAAACATACAATAACTACATCATGATAAAGAAACAAAACTTTTAATTTGTACTTGGATACAAAATTAGTTATGACAAAGTGTTTTCTTTTATAAAATCAGAGAACTAATTTAGTATGTAAACAAAAAAATGAGTTCATCAGTGTGAATAGATAACATCAAACAGTAAATTATGTTAAGTTAACTTCAAAGAAAAATTTAAATTTAACTTTATTTATCCAATTATTTTTATTCATTTAGATGTTTTCAACAAATCGAAAACAAATACCTTAATATTATGTAATTACGTATTTAAGCATAATACTAGTAATAGCGATATTAAATAATAAAAAATACAAATTTATTTTAGTATTTTATAATATGAATATAAACTGTAACTTGAGTAAATTTTATTCTAAATTAAATTAGTTTAAAACCAATCTATGAATCCAACAAAAAATCTTTACCCGATGAAAATATAAGAATATATTTTATTCAAAAATATGTCAACCAATAATGGTTGTATTATGCTTGTTTTTATAGCAGATATATACACAACAAAGTTACATGAAACTATCAAATATCAAACATCGCTTTTCATATAAACGGAAAATATTACCTGGCATTATGGATACGGTTTTCAGAGCTCTGAGTACGCGAAACGTACGCAGCCCGGCTAGATTTCCGACGTCCATGCCGATGGTTGCATAACCCGACGTGATGACGATGAAATCCAGCCAGTTCCATGGATTTCGTAAGTATGTATACTTATTTAGTATAAATCCCTTCGATATGGTTTTGATAACCATTTCGGCTGTATAGATGGCCAAGAAAATGTATCTGTAAAATAAATAAATAAAAATAAAGAATTATACAACTCCGATAAATCACGTTCGTTTTAATGGCCTCGAGCGATAGTGACCCGATAAAAAATATTTGAGATTGCATTTCACACAAATAAAATAGTAAAAATATAAATGTCGAATATTTCCATAAACATTCGTTTTAAATGCGGTTTGCATTCCGAGTTTTGTTTTATGGGTAATCGGCGTATTTTTTTATTTATGAAAAATCCAGACGTAATTTCTTGTCAGAAACTCGACGTTATTCTTGCCCTTTACTTTTACCTAAATATAAAACAACTTCGCACTGTTGTACATAACTTGAAGTATATGTATACATTTTCCGCATCCCTTAACTCTCAGCTTAAATACAAACTGTGATGCCAAGGGGAAAATTCTCTGCTGTTTAGTTGTTTCGCAGATATTTTAAAAGGTGGTTGAAATACTTTTTAACCTCTTTATTTAACTTTAAATATCACGATTTATAATAATCTTAAATATAACTATGAAACATAATTCATTTTAAACTTATTTGTTGATTAATTGTTTTAAAATGAAAAACCAAAATATTGTATACCTCCTTAAACAGAAAATTTTTTATAACTAATCTATGTAAAAACTACATCAACGTTAACATTTTTTTTAATACCTAATTGATTCAGTCGTTTTCTGTCAAATGTATAATTTAACTTTTTTAATTAAACAAGATTTAATTGTTTAAACAAAGCAATAATATTCAAAAATGGTTTGTTATTTTGTTCATTAAACCAACTTCTTGGCTCAATATTTGTTTACGAATTGTACCTACTAATTTAAATTAGAAAGTGACGATTAACTTATTATCAGTTGCACAGTGCATAGCTTAATAGAAATATTTCACTTTATTTCTATTTCTTTCAACACTTAAGTGCAATTCTTTCTAACGCTAAAGGGAACTATATTGAGAAAATCGAAGAATGACCTCTTCAAAGTACCAACTAGATTCGATTTTTGATCGATATAAATATATACAGCCACTGAAACTTTTTCAGAACTTCATCTGCTCAACTAAGTGTTCACAGAAAAATATATAAAAAATAAAATCTTTGAACACCAATACATTTCTCACTTCACTCAAAATCTAAAAAATAAAAATTGGAAGAATAATTCAATTTTTCTATAATTTACTTGTCATTAAATGATAATGTAGGGTGAGCGAAAAGTGAGATTATCACGCAAAATGTATACGCATTCAAATTACTGTGATTGTATGCTACAAATAAAATAATATGCATAAAATTGTTCATATTTTCAACTTGAGATGTCTATACTCTATACCACTAGTTTTTGTGTGCTTAGAATATGTAATACTTTTGCCTGTCAAAATAAATTACCATTGCCATTTGCCAAGTTTCACAATAGTTGATACATTTTATTTTTTCTCGTCATTGTTTGAACAGTAGGTTTTGACTCATACCCATAGGAGGTGAGATTGTCTTAAATACGTCGATTTAATGGCATTAAACCAATTAAATATTCTATTACATCGATTAACAACTAGTAGGTATATATTATTGTGCGTACATTAAATGGGTTCGCCGTCGTTGTAACATATTGCATTTACTTGTAGGCGATGCAATATTAATTATTATTAGTTATACCTGCATTTGATTTCAGACTTGTGTATTACGATTAGAAATCAGTGACAAAAACAATATGAGCTATTTGAGATATCGAGTATTTGTACTAGATTAGATTTTAAATCCAATATTGTGTATAATATAATATAATATAATATAATATAATATCCTATATTATGTTGAATATATAAATTGAGTACTATTTAAAGTTATACTTATTTCATTAGATTTTCTCTATCAGATACCACAACTATTAGGTACTTAAATTAATTCAGTACATCTACCTACCAATGTTGTAAATTCATGTTGATTGTTTATTTATAGTAATACTTATTACTATAAATAAATAACTAATACTTATTAAAGTATGTATTTTTGTGATCAAAATCCAAAAGTTAGATGACTTAGTTAATTATTTTTCTTCTTATTTATATAGCTGTATCTCGATATAACAATCAATTGTATGTAACATACACTAAATTCAAGTATATATTTTTGTTTTTGCATTTTTTAATTAAATCTATAATATTATATTAGCTAAGTATATAGAATTTAGTAACCAGTCATCTAGTATGTCATTAAGTTATAATTTTTTCATTATAGTATCATACTGTGTTAAATGACTGAGGTTTTTTTTTATGTATTTGTAATGTGTTATGCAATTAGTTAGAATGTATTATTTAATAAACGTTAATAGAATATTTAAATAATACAATTATAATATAGGGAAATTTAAGTACACATCTATAGCGTACTAAGATTTCCCTGTATTTTGTATGTATTTCTAGTTTTAACATAATATTAAACGTGTTTCAATAATAATAATTTTATAATAATGATCACACGGCGCTTTGTATAGGCATTTCAGGTCACTCTAAGATATTGTTGTCTCTTTTCTGGTATAAATATAGGTTAAATATTATGGTTTGTTGTAAAATTTATTTCAATAAAATGTATTCATTAAATTAACTTACCATAAAATACTGAGTATAATATGTTATGATTATTAAAAGATAAATGATGAAGTTATACAACAATAAACAACTGAGAATGAAATAATAATCAATATTATCTATTTTTAATGGGAAAATTGAAGTTTAAATCAAAATGTATGCCGTTTCTAAATATTTACTGTACCTACCCTATTTAAATTGTGTTTAAAATAGTCACTATACTAACTTCGCACCCATTTTGGCCACATTTTTAGTTTGTATATAATTTATCAACTATTATAGTATATTACCTAAATAAACCATATTATGATAGTGCATGGAAATTTTATAATAATTATATAACCAAATAATTATCATGCAATTTATTTACATTATTGTATATTTATTAAATTTAAAAAGGAAACTATTGAGATCACAATAATTTAAATAAAACAAACGTACAAGCGTAATAAAATGACTGTATACAACTAATCACCAAATATGAAATTATTAAATATTTATGCAACAGTATTATATGTCATAATCTGTTCTATTTTTTGTGATTTATAAATAATTAATACATAATACATACGTCTATACTCATTTTTCACATATACAGCGTATGCATAAATCTTTATTGTTCACTTTACACGTTACACACGCGCAATGTTAATAATATATAGCAAATATGAATAGGTAATAAACATTAATCTACTAATACCGTTGTTGTCGGTTGTAGCGACTTGACAACAATTAATGTAATATGTAAAACAAAATATTTTACCATATTATAAATAGTGGCAATATAGTTCAATATTAATAGTTTAAATGTATAATCATTTAATAGTATAAACATACGTTTATGAACCATCATAATATTACTCCTATGTATTTTATTGTATTATTTTTGATGATCTATCTCATCGTCAAAACTTTAAAACACTTACAAAAAATTAATTTTTTTAAACATTAGTTTAGAGTTCGTTATTCATGAGAAAAAATTATGACATAAAACTGTTATAGAAATTACTATCACTTACATCTATGAAAATAAGTTATATTTTCAAAAACTCGGTGCTTATCATAGTAATTTCTATTATATTATAGAAAAACTAAACATTTAATAAAGAGTATAATGCTATCAAATAAATCACCCTGTATAGTTATGTTATCTGTATTTAGGTAAAAGTTAATAAGGTAAAATTCAGCCATTATTTTTTATTTTTCTGATTGGAGTCATAAAAACTTCCCTGTGTAGAATCTTGAACAGGACTCTCTTGCTTTTAAAATGTTAAAGTAAAAATTAAACGTAAGAAGATCTTTTGAAATTACAAAAATAATTTGTTTTATAGTTTTTGGTTCTTATACTACACATGGTACTTTTGTTACCATGGGTACCGATCTCATTGATGATTATATAAAAATATTATTTTACGATATTTGTTGTCCTAGACTCCATCAGGTATTATATTATCTCCAATATTTAATAGTTGATAGGTACACGGTTCTATTAACATTAAATTGATTAAATCGTTTGATATTGTTTCGTGCATCTATTGTATTTCATATTATAGTAGGTATCCAGTATTCATCACATATTGTTTAGATATGTTTACTGTTTGATAAAATGTCAATTTGAACATAATATTAAATTAATAGTCAAGAATCAAGATAACATTAATTATAGCTCATGGGTTATATTTCATTTTACACTCATGGAATACGCGTATCGAGGTATTATAGGGAAATATACAATATAGGTATCATTTTACATAAATTATTTTGATTGCTTTTATTTTATTTCTTGTAATTAGAACCATATACAATCATCAATTTTGCATAGAAAATTTTTATGAATGAGTTCAAAATCTAATGGCGGTTTACAGCAACTATAAAAAAAATGTAACATAATCGAAAGCAGCACAATAGTGCATTTGAATAAGCTATCAAATTATAATTTATAAGAAACAATATGAATACAATCTTAGACTTGTGTTTATATATGTTTCGATAACATTAAATATAGGACACACACAAGGCAAAGTGAATACATATGTAATGTGTATACATAAATATGTTTATACATATATATTTATTTATTAGAATGACTATAATCAGTTTCCCGTCGGCATGAAAGGGTATAGTCGAGCATCGTCAAATGTATGTCTGGGTTGCCGTTCATAATGCTTTCTTTTGTGTTCCACACAGTTCTTTGGTGGAAAATTCCCTCTTAAGCGAACAACGTTGCATGAAAGTGAGAGAAAAAAGAAGGAAGCATTTCTCTATCATTGTTCAATGAATGTTCAAAAGCTCTCCAAGATAATTATCTCTCTTGCAGGTCATATTATGACGTTTACTAGAGAAACTGGTAAATGGTAAATTATGTTTTATACATATATAACAGGTGTAGGACATTTAGCTAATCTTAAATAACCTCTGCGTTGTCC